AAAAAAAAAAAAAAAAAAAGTGTTAAAACATTTAAATAGTTGATTCTCCTGGGATTTGCTTTGACATCGGGTATGATGTGAAATTACCAATTCATGGGCTGGCCCAGGACAGTTTAGAATCCCAGGAATCTCTGGTCCATGGAGTAACTCCCCTCTACCAATCGACTTCAAATTTACATTTTTGCTGAAGTTTTTATTGTGATCACATTCAAGCTATAAACTGATGTGGAGAGAATCCAGCACTCTCTTCCAGAATTTAGTTTTCCTCTCCAAACAGTACCTGGGTTTGCATCCTCTGAAAACTTTTTGGATTTCTTTCAAAACTTTCCCAGTTCTCTTCATGTGAGTCCAATTAGTATGGCACAATTAAAAATATATCTGTAAAGCTTTCTTTGAAAATTAATGATGAAAAGAAAACATAATAAATCATGGTGTACTATGTGTGTGGTTTACAAATGTCAAATCCTATGTGTGTGACCTCAGTATACCGAGTTTACAGACCTTTTCTTAGCAAAAATTCCTTTACTTAATAGAAATCTGATAGCAACTAGGAGACATTTTTTTTAAAGCAAGAGGAAAACGTGCAGGGGGCAAAGTGGGTATTATTAAAATTCTGCCCTTCTTTTAATGCTCAAATCCAGTTTTAATCTGCCCTACTTCTGATGCTAACTCCATAGTTTTCTATCTCTAAGTATCTATCCTAACGGTAAATTCTGAGTAGTAAAATGTTATGTTTGCAAAAAGTTGGGCTCGTGATAATTAACTTATAAGAAAATCCAGCGCCACCAAAGTATAGCTGTAACATCCTTCGCTGTATCTGTGTATCTGTGTGCAGTCTACCACAATGCAGGTCACACAGTGCTAGTCCACACTAAGGAAGTTTTAGTTTAAAACACAAAACTGAAGTTGGGCATGGTAGTGCATGCCTGTAATTCCACCACTTGGGAGGCTGAGGCAGGAGGATCACCATGAGCTGGAGGCCAGACTGGACTACACAGTGAGTTCAAGGCCAGCTACATAGACAGACCTTGCCAAAAAAAACAAACACCACCAAAAAACAAACAAGTGAAAAACAAAAACCTCAAAACTGTACCCAAAGACTTTTTATACCTCACCCATCCGAAATCAGCCCTCCAGTTTATTACTGACAGATGAGTCCACCAAACTTTGGTCACCCTGACTCAGCTAAATGGCCCCCGACGGGAGAAAGACCGAGTGGCACTTTGCCCTGGACCCTTTCTAATGCGGCTGGAGAAAGAAATAGTGAGACCCAAGTCATGAATCCTATTTTTGGCTGTCACAGTCAAGCTGACTATTTGTGGTGGAAAGCAATTACTGCATTTTAAAACTTTGCTTCTTCCAAAACGGATCCTTCTTATTTATTTATTTTTGCTGATTGAAAACCCAGTCTCTGACTCCTCAGACCGAAATGGAAAGAAGCCGGGACAGGCTGAGCCCCCCGCTCCCCTCCCAAACCACCTCCCAGGCACAGGCAGGGCTCTGTCCAGTGGCCTCTGCAGCCGCCCACTGGGCAGCAGCCTTCATTCTGCTAGGGTTTTGTCATAAAGAAAAAGTCCCGGCAACGCTAATATCGTCACAGAGATCCCCGTGGGGAACTCGGAGAAGCTGGGAGTGGATCCTAAGCTCTCTGATGCCAATGACACATTTTCTCCCCTTGGCTAAATTAGTTCTCTGATTGCAACAACTTTGGTTTTTTCGCACGACTGAAATACCTGAAGATGATCCGATATTTTTCCTAGCATGCTCAAAAGGGGAAAATGCCTACACCGTTTGAGAAAGTAAACTGACAATCCTGATACTCAGACTTGGACAGTCACTGTTCACCCAATAAATCTTTACAACCCTGCCTCCTGCTGCGGTTCCAAGTCTGTTCCCAGGGGTTTCTTTACAGAGTGCGTGCGGAGTAAACAAAAAGCGAAGTTGAAAGCTCACCGGTGGCCTGGCACAGAGGTATTTTCATTCATTAGCTGTGGTCCAAACTGTGACTCCACGTATCATAAAACGGAGTCTGCAGTCAGAAGAAATGTGTTCTGCCTTTCAATTTCTTAAGTGATTTTACTACAGAAGAAAAGATGTAAATGCAGGAAGTTGAAATGATCTGCAACCTTTGAACAGGATCTGATGAACTACTGGACAGGTCTGGTACGGGAGGCCTGCGTCATCGCTAACCGAGAGGCTCTGGGAATCGATCGACTGAGCTTTTGTATTTAAGAAGCGGCTGGATTCAGACCAATGAGCCAGCTTGCTCAGGTGAAAGCTAGAAATAACCAGTCCTCAGCACTAGGGTAGCCCTGTCACCCAGCTGCCCAGCACGCGCTGGAGCTGAACTGGCACACAATTTAGTTGAAAACAGGAGGTCCAGAGGCTCCTTCCACATCAGTGGAAGCAAGCGGTCAAAGGGGAGCACGTCCCGTTCCTGAGAAGTGGTTGCCTTAAGTGGAGGTGAGTGAAGGCCGCGCTGAGCCGAGTTCCTTCCCAGTGCCAAGTCCACTGCAGGCCACTGCCCCCTCCCTGTACTTCAGTGCAAGACTTTGGCCTCCATTTCTCCACTCCGGTATCAAAGGGTGAAACGCGACACTGCGCCGTTCCGTGACGTGGAAGCAGCGAGGCTTAGAACAAAGTCAAGGTTGTTGAGAAATGCACAGCACACCTCGGTACCCTGAAGGGAAGTCAGCAGTAACGGAAGTGAGTGTTGTATTCGCGCTGATGTTACCCGAGACGGGGCAACAGTCGGGTATTTAGGATGCAGGAGAAACAAATCTACTAGAACCGGACAAACTTTGCAGTCATCCTTGCAAGGTGACTCTCCCTAAAAACGTGAGTGAACAAGCTGTAACCCGTACCTCTTCAGGAAGGATTGCCTCGACTCCAGTGATCTCCCCAGTGCCTCCCAGGCAGCCAGCCACTGCCACCCCCATGCTCAAAGCTGAGTCAACCCCCATTCATTAGCCCCTTCTCCCCCAGATCCTGTAATTAAACAGTTGGGTGGGGAGAGAGAGAGAGACAGAGACAGAGAGAGAGAGAGAGAGAGAGAGAGAGAGAGAGAGAGAGACAGAGACAGAGACAGAGACAAGACTCGGTTGTCTCCTAGAGAAGTTAAAACAAAAGTAAACCAACACACTGCCGGGCCGTAGCCTCTGTGGGCCAGCACACGCTGCTTGTTTGCTTTACTGCAAGCAGTGAAGGCTCCCCTGGCAGCTGCCTGGCGTGGTACAGCACTGGGGCGCTGCGCTGCCTGGAGGAGGACAGGTGCATCCCCAGGGTCGCAGCCGCGCAGTCTGCTGTGGGAGGGCTGGGAC